AGTCAGACACAATTGAATGTGGGGGGATGACACATGGAACATTCCACACAACGAACACATAAAAACCAATCTCAATTCATATATCCAGGAGGAATGGCTTATAATTGTTGCAGTGCTTATAATAATTCTGTGTTTTAGAACAGGGTTTTTTAAACTGAGTTCTGTGGAACCCCAAGGGAGAAATATAGAGCTTTGTTCCTAGTTGTCATGTTCTGGCAAATACATCCAATTTTCTATCACTAGAGCTGTGTTTCACAACTTTGACAACTTGAAGATGTGTGGACTTTAACTTACTGGCTTCAACAAGTTGCCAAGATTTAGATACACTACACTACAGTTTTGGCTTTTGAATCCGGGGTGGAATTCTACCGGTTCTGACCGGTCCTATAGAACCCCTTGTTAACTTTCTAAGCAGTTTGGAGAACCGATAATTAGAAGAAATCTCCTTTTGTTTTTTCCCACCCTTATTACATTCTTGCCAGTACACCTACGGACTTCCTGTCTCCGGAGCTTCTGGGGCTTGACTTTCTTAAAGGGGAAGGGTTGTTTTAAGATTTTTACACTGCTGTTGGGAGGAAATACTTCCCTGGACAATCAGTAATTTGAAGAAATAATTGAATAATGAAGCAGAGCTGTCAGAAAGAAGCTTTTATTTTATTTTTAATTTTAATTTTTAAATAAACTTTATTTACAAGAATTGAAAACATACAAATTTAAAAATACAAAACCAATAGTGTATACATAGCACATTCCTCTTTATATTTGATATCGAATTTGATACATCCTGATAATCATTACTAATACTTCTCACATTTCCATTAACTATCAAATCTTAATCACTACGTAACTTGCAAAACTCTACTAATCTTCTCATTGGTGTATAACTATTTATTAATTAATAATAAATTCATAATTTTTGAGTAGTAAATAAAAATATATAGTGAATATAAATGCTAGTAATAATAAAGTAGAAGAAAAGAATATTTAACACCTTTGTTATTCTTGTACATTTCATAAAGACAGTTGCATATAATTTGTTTCTAGGGTTCATTTACATGTTTTCCCTTTACGGTCTACCCAGTTGTACCATTTGTCCCATATCCTATAATAATCTGTGTTCTCCTTCCCATAGATTTTGAGTGTTAGCCTCTCCAATTGGGCATACTCATACATTTTTTTGAATAGTAATATGTATCAATGGTACATTTGGATTCTTCCAATATTGTGCTAATGAAATCCATGCTGCTGTCAAATGGATCATGCCCAGTATTTCCTAGCCGTACCACAGATAACAACAATGATCTAATACATATCGATTTTACAGAAGACAATGTTGAAAAAGCACTACGCAATCTAAAATCATCTCTATCTATTGGACCAGATGGAATATGTGCCTACTTCTTAAAAAAGCTATCCACTGCCATAGCCAAACCTCTAAGCATAATCTTTGAAAAATCTTTCAGGACCAGCTCCTTGCCTAACCTATGGTCACAAGCCACAGTCATCCCCATCTTCAAAAAGGGAGACCCAAGCCTAGTTGAAAATTACAGACCAATCTCCTTATGCTGCATCACCTGTAAAGTCATGGAATCAATTATTAACCAATCCATCATCCTCCACTTAGAGACAAACAACCTACTCTCCAATAAACAATTTGGTTTCAGAAAAAAACTATCCTGTAATCTGCAACTCTTACACTGCAAAAACATATGGACGACACAACTCGACCAGGGCAAAGCAAATAGACGCAATCTACATAGACTTCTGTAAAGCCTTTGATTCAGTGGTACACGACAAACTACTCCTAAAAATAAAATCCTATGGTATCTCTGGACAACTGAATAACTGGATAGAAGCATTCCTGTCAAACAGACAACAAATGGTCAAAATTGGGAGCGTCCTATCAAATTCAGTACCTGTCAATAGTGGTGTCCCCCAAGGCAGTGTTCTAGGACCAACTCTCTTCATACTCTACATAAGTGACCTCTGTGATCATATTAAGAGCAATTGCGTTCTTTTCGCTGATGATGTAAAGCTGTTCAATACCACAGACAATACTGCTACCCTACAAAAAGATCTTGACTATGTATCAGAATGGTCAAACAAATGGCAACTTCAAATCTCAACAAATAAATGCTCTGTCTTACATATTGGCAAAAAAAATCAGAAAATAAAATACAAGCTGAATAGTCAAGATCTTGTTGATGACCCAAGCTCTGTAAAGGACCTTGGAATACTCACCTCTAATGATCTAAGTGCTAGAGCCCACTGCAACTACATAGCCAAAAAGGCATTAAGAGTTGTTAACCTAATCCTACGTAGCTTTTTCTCTGGTAATATCACACTACTAACCAGAGCATACAAAACATTTGCTAGACCAATACTCGAATACAGTTCATCAGTCTGGAACCCACATTATGTATCTGATATTAGCACAATTGAGAAAGTCCAGAAATATTTCACAAGAAGAGTTCTCCACTCCTCTACTCGTTGTAGAATACCTTATGCCACCAGACTTGAAATTCTAGAACTAGAAAACCTTGAATTACGCCGTCTTCGGTCTGACTTAAGCATGGTATATAAAATCATACATTGCAATGTCCTACCTGTCAATGAATACTTCAGCTTCAACCATAACAACACAAGAGCACACAATAGATACAAACTCAAAGTTAACCGCACCAAACTTGATTGCAGGAAATACGACTTCAGCAATAGAGTGGTCAATGTCTGGAATACTCTACCCGACTCTGTAGTTTCTTCCCCAAACCCCAAAAACTTTAACCTTAGACTGTCTACTATTGACCTCACCCCTTTCCTAAGAGGTCTATAGGGGGTGTGCATAAGCGCACCAACGTGCCTACCGTCCCTGTCCTATTGTTTCTCTTATTCTTCTTTTATTTTTCTTATATGTACCCATTTCATGTATTCACAACTATGTATACACTTATACTTATTATCTTGTAAACAATTGGCAAATCAAATAAATAAATAAATAAAAATAAAAATAAAGTGGATGGTCAGATATCTTATTTTAGGGGTATAGTCCCCTTTAATCATTCCCAACAAGAACAGTTCAGGTTTCCACTCCAGCCCGCACTCTATAATTTCTTCTATCCACTCTTTTATTTTTAACCAATATTTCTTTGTCTCAGGGCAGGTCCACCATAAATGGAAATAAGTACCAAATTTCCCTTTGCATTTCCATCAGCATGGGTTTGCTGTTGGAAATATTTTGGCCAGTCTAGTGGGTGCCAGATACCATCTATACATCATTTTGTACAAATTCTCCTTATGTGCCACTGATTTAGTTAGTATGAGATTTTTTTGCCAAATTTCTTCCCAGTCATCCAGATGTATACTGTGACCAAACATTTTTCCCCAGGCTAACATAGGTCCTTTCACAATTCTCTCAGCCATTTCATGTTCTAATATATAATTATATAGTTTAGAAATCAACTAAACTATAGGACTTGAGAGTATTTTGTCTAAATGTGTATCTTTTGCCTCAATTCCATATTCCTTTACATCTTTATTATATCTCAATTTTACTTGTAAATATAACCAATTATCAATGACTATCCCTAGTGCTTCAAGTTCCTATATTGTTTTAATTCTTCCCTCTTTATCTAATATTTGATGGTACTTCAGTTTTTTACTGATATCCATCTTATTTAAGTGGAACATTGCTTCCATTGTTGAAAACCACCTCGGAATTTTGGTATAATGATTTCTTCTAATGTCAGCCCAAATTTTAATTAATAACTTTCGGAATACATGTCTAGTAAAGTATAGATTGTTTTGGCTATTCAAGTTCCACAAAAATGCGTGCCATCCTAATTGTAAGTCGTGGCCCTCCAATTTTAGAATTCTATTGTTCCTCAAATTGATCCAATCTTTTATCTATACTAATGCCACCGCTTTATAATAGATCTCCCAGGCAGGGAGTCCAAATCCACCTCTGCTTTTATTATTTGTAAATATATATTTTTTATTCTCATTTTTTTCTTTGCCCAGATAAATTTCATCACAATTTTATCTAATTCTTTAAATAATTTTTTATCCAATAATATCAGAATTGTTTGAAATAGATATAGTATTTTGGGTAAAACATTCATTTTGATTGTTGCTATTCTGCCTAATAATGAAATTTGCATCTTATTCCAATTTTTCAAATCCTTTTCAATCTTTTTGAGTAATTGGGTGTAGTTGTCCTCCTGCAGATTTAATGTTCTAGCTCTTAACCAGATGCCTAAATATTTGATCTTATTTACAATTTGTAATCCCATCTTTTCTTCCATATTTTTTTTTTTTGGGGGGGGGGTTACTATTTGGTAAATTTTTAACTAGCATTTTAGTTTTTTCCTTATTAATTTTTAATCCTGCTAGTTTACCAAATTTATCTATTTCATTTAGTAAAGCTGGTCCTGAGTCTATTGGGTCTTCTATAACAAAAACCATATCATCTGCGAAGGCCTGTAATTTATACTCTTGACTTTTAATTTTGGTACCTTTGATTTCTTTATTTGATCTAATTCTATCCAATAAAGTTTCTAAAATTGTTAGGAAAAGTAGAGGTGAAAGAGGGCATTCCTGTCTGACACCCTTCCTTGTCTTTAATGATTTAGTAATTTCTCCATTTAATAATACGTTAGCCTTTCGGGTAGCATAAATTGCATTTAACATTTTTACAAAATTACCTCCAAAGTCCATCAAGTTAATCTGCTTCTTCATAAAGTCCCAATTTAAATTATCGAAAGCTTTTTGCACATCCAGGAAGACCAAGGCCACTTGATTTCCTGGATGTTTTTCATAATATTCTAATATGTCTATTATTATTCTTGTATTATATCTAATCTGCCTCGTGGGAAGAAAGCCATTCTGATCCGAATGAATTTTGTTGCTAAGTACTTTCTTTAATCTTTCCACCATTGTCACCATAAAAATTTTATAATCTGAATTTAAAAGAGAAATTGGTCTATAATTCTTCATTTGGTTAGCATCTGCACCCTCTTTTGGAATCAATGTTATGTAAGCTTCCTTCCATGATTCTGGAATTTTTGCTTCCAATAATACCTCATTGCAGACCTCTCATAGCATATTCTCTAGTGTGGCACCTATCTCTTTATATAATTCATTTGGTAACCTATCTGGCCCTGGTGTTTTGTTTCTTTTTTGTTTTTGAATTGCTGCCTTTAGTTCATCTAAAGTTATTACTTTACTAAGCAGCTCTTTTTTTATCATCTGATAAAGGGTACAGAATTCCTTCTTTCAAATATTCTTCTATTTTATTTAAGTCAACTTCCTCTTGTTTATAAAGATCCTCAAAATATTCTCTTGTGATTTCCTTTTTTTCCCCTCCAGGTCCATCTCTATTATTCCATTTTTATCCTCTAATTGATATATCATTCTTTCTGGTTTTCTTTTCTTAATTTATATGCCAGCCACCTGTTTTAAGATTTTTATATTGCTGTTGGGAGGAAATACTTCCCTGGACAATCTGCACTTTGAAGAAATAATTGAATAATGAAGCAGAACTGTCAGAAAGAAGCTTTTAATGACAGGGAACCAAGATGAGTGACATTCAGCAAGGCTTCGTGGCTAGCTAGAACGTTTGACATTCAAACGTGAGTTTATATATCCTTTCTGAGTTTTGTTCTAAAACTGGTTTTTGGTGAAGGTTAATTCTGTGCTTGGGGAAGTTTAATCCTATGTTTATTGATGGGATAATCTTCCCTATTCAGCTTCAACAAGCAACAGCTACTGTTGTGATTTAATTATTTGTATTGTATTTGAATTTTTTCCTGCCTCATCATTACTTTGTCTATCTGGGGTGGGGGTCTTCCTTCACTGCTTTAGTGGTATCTGGCACTATCCTTTTAGGGTATATTTCCAAGAGGCAGGATGCAAGATTGGTATTGATTTCTTTTACTACTTTTCTGGGGCATGTGACCTTTCCTTAAATCTAAATTTCCTTAGGATATCTTGTGATGTGAGTGAGACCAGCTGTTATCTTTAAGTGGTGCAAATAGGTCTAAGGATTGCTTTCCTGGGTGTGCTTTTTCTGGAGAACTTAAATGACCTCTCTGCTAAAGGGTTTCACTTTATGAGCAAGAGTTGGCTGCTGATAGTTATCACTGCATTTTAACTATTTTAAACTATTTAACTATTTTAACTATTTAAACTCAAGGTGCTCTGGCACCCTGCCTGATTTGTAATTCCGGCTTGCAGGTATTTTTAATGTAATGGTATTTAGGGCAACTTTTTGCAAGCAAAGAAGCTTTTTGTATTTTTGTACAGGTAATCAGTGATTTACAACAGTTCATTTAGTGACCATTCAAAGTTACAATGGCACTGAACAAAGTGACTTATGACCATTTTTCAGACTTATGACCATTGCAGCATCCCCACTATCATGAGAGGCCAGGCGAGGAGAAGCGCCCCTTGACATGAGTGATGTTGTGTTGGCCACACCCACCCAGTCACATGACCACCAAGCCACACTCACCACCAAAGCCACGCCCACAGAAACGGTTGTTAAAAAAATTGAATCCCACCCCTATTTGAATCCCAAGGTTTTTTTAAAAAAAACCACCTAACAAGTTCTATGGCCTTAGAAAGTTTGAAAAACCTTGTTCTAGAAGTTAAAACAAGAAAAGCTTCCTTTATCTTTTCTTTAAAAAAATATTGCCATGCAAGAGGCCCCCCAAATTCCTATTCCCATAATGCTAAAGTTTGCAAGTTCTATAAATTATGTATCCAAGGGACTCAAGACTACAAAGCTGATGCAATAATAAAATATTTTGATCCCTAAGGTTGAATAAAAACAGAAGGATATCTCCTCTCTTGGTTTTTTTATGAGTGTTCTTTTTTCTGTCACCATGCTGATTCCAAATGCATTTTCATCTTTCTCTTTTCTTTCTGAATGCACCCCACCTTGAGGTTTTTTTATGGTTCTCAGTTAAGTCTCATCACAAACTCGTTTCTTTCTCTTGCTGTGTAAATTTCAAGGTCTGGGACTGTTAAAGCTATAATCTGGACACCAAGCAGATAAGGAAGGACTTTCTCTCTTCCCACAATTTCTCTTTCAATTTATCTACTATCTCCAAGAAACTTATTTACTGCACCTTACAATTCATCTGTTTACCTTAACATTTTTGACTTTTCGTGCCTTGCAATAACTTTCACTGTAGCTACTTACTTATCCCAAGTTTCATAGCCATGTAGCTCTGTCCTGCAGATAAAAAATAAATAAATAAACTTGTAATATCAGCTAAGCTAAAACACTACTTTAAAAAAAAAACACCCAGTAATACACTTGCTACTGTAAAAATGACATTCAAAACATGGGTAGACTCATAGTGTTAGCTTTTTTATTTTTAAAAAAGTTCATTAATTTAAAGATTAATTAAATCCATTAAGATAAATCCAGGTGCAGCTGTTTCTAATTATGGGAAACTATATGACTGAACAGTTTTAAAGCTTTAACCCATAAATAATAAAAAGTGTTAGTGTTTTTATGTTGGATGCTCCTCAGATAAGAGGTCAGACAGCTCTTAAAGTTTACATCCTCAGAGACATTGTGAAGATGTTACTTTGATCGCTATATTTCCCTGACAGTCTTGTTCTTGAAAGGCACAAGAACCTGATTTTGAGTGAAGTATATTCACAACCCAGTGTTTTCTTTTTCATCTGCTTGGTCTCTTGGATATCAAAAGAATTTAGATTATTTTTTAAATTAAATAATCCACCTGACTTTTTAACAGTTTATTTGCTAGTATTTTTATTATTTTTTACTATATTATTTACAAAATGTACATAATACCATATATATTTGATACAAAAGTATTTGTACAGTATTGATTAAAGATTAACACTCTAATCTTTGGATAGCTTAGATCATTGAAAATAAAGAAATAAATATTGTATCAATATCAATTATAATTAAAATGTCAATGTTAATAAATGTAAAATCATTTCATCCTCAATTGAGTATAACAAATCTCTTCAGACAGTATCAATTTGTCATATAATAAGGATTTTTGTCTTAAGATGATTACTGAATAATAAGATCTCCATTGTAATGTTACTTAATGTTATTTATGCAGGTTGAAAAAGGAAAAATAAAAAGATTTTAAAGCAAATTTGACAACAATTAAAATGCCAAAAAATAAAGAAAGGCAAAGAAGGGAGAAGACTATTTCATTTCTAACTTCTGCTAAATTACAATATTTATAAGTATTTCAGTTCCCTGTAAATGTTTATATTTGCCATGTTACATGATGTATATATGGAAATCATACTTGTTTAAACCTTCTGCTGTGAATATATACTCCTAATTTTGCCATAGCTGCACATTTACCAAGTTTAAGTTCCCAATCAGATATTGTCAGAATTATATCTTTCTTCCAATTTTGAACCAAATATGCAAAAGTGCTTTTGTAAAAGGCAACTGAACTTTGTTTTTCCTTTAATACGTTTCTCTTCTCAACCAAGAAGCTTCTTCAGTTCTGTCAATTATTTTATCATCCCCCATTCTTCCCATTGTTATGCTATGACTATTTTATCATACAGGGGTATTTTTTATTTGTCTGTGCCATATCTGAACAAGAGTGTATATATGCAATCTAAACCAAATGGCATTGGCTTTTTTATACAAGCATTTTAAATTCTCTTTTTTCATTCTTGAGACCTGATTGTACCATTTCAGTGATTTGTAACTACCTCAACTATGGTATATTCCAGTGTCACTTTGTAAAGTTCTTTCTAAAATTCTGATTTGTGCCATTTAGAATTGATATTTTATCTTGAATAATATATTTAGTTTTATAATAGCAATTGATTCTCACCAAGATAGCTTTACATTCCTCTGCCTTTCAAGGTCTTTTTTGATTTCTTGCCATAATTTAACATAGTTATTATGATGTACTTGATTGTTGCCTGTCAGATGGAAACCAATGTATTTCACTGAGTGAGCTATCTGACAGCCAGATTCTCCTGAAGAAGATTGATATGTCTTTCCATTAAATATCTTGTGATTATTTTTGCTTTTTGAACATTGATTTTCTATCCAGAGAATTCTCCAAACCATGAACTGTTTTCATTAACTGTTTTGTTGCCTTTTGTGGTTCTACGATGGCTGATACTACATTCCATTCCATAACATTTGAGGTTGTATTTCTCTTCATGAATTTTGAGCTGTGTTATTTGTTTATTGTCTTAAATTTTTTCTACCAATTTATTTATTTATTTTTAATTAATTAGTTAAGCTACCTATCTCACCACAAGGCAAATCATTGTAGTTCTAATACAATGACGAATAGTAAGGGAGATGGTGGACTTCTTTGCTTTGTACCTTTACAAATTGGGAGTCTGCCTAAAGTGCTTCATTAGCTACAATCTGCTTTTTGCTAATCAAAACTCTTCTCTTTGTTTGTTTTGTTCAATACAGACAGCAGGAATTGCCACTGCAAATTATCATTTTCTGTATCTAAAAAAATTAGCGCAACTTTCTGCCTTCCTCCCCTTTTTATTTATTATTATTATTTTGGTTTATTTCTACTATTACAATAATTATAAACTTACTGAAAAATCTTGCAGTCTACATTCAGTAGTATGTTCTGAAATTGGTCTACTTAACTATATTTTCTCTCCATTGTTCCCTTCTTTGTAAATCAAAGCTATGTATGTATGCCTCTTCCATTATTGCATTTGTTTCTTTAATATCATTCATTATATTCTTTGCACTGTTGAGCTACATACCCCTCTGGACCTGGTGCTTTTCCTAAATTGTATTGTTTTATTGCTTTTTTATTTCTTGGGCAATTATACAGCAGATGTATAATATTTACCTGTGTTGATCATTAAATTCTTAACTTCTCAATATATTTAGTGTCGTTGATTTTAGTCTCAAAAGACAATTTACCAGTCTTCAGAGAATAACTGAAACTTATTTTAGTATGATTGAAAATTTGGTTTTGGTAGGACTTGATTCATTTCTGCCCAGATATCTATCCAGTCTGTGATAAAGGGCAAGTCTCCATTTTTATGGCATTTCAGCCTTCTAAAAATTTGCTTTTAATAATTATAGTTGCTAGTTATTTGTGAAATTTTAACTGATAATAAAAAATTCAACA